AAGCAAAAGAATAAGAAATAAAAAAAAACTATTTTTGTTTTTTGATATTTTTATGACACAAATGGTTATTTGAGATAAACAAAATCGATGAAACTAGAATCTAAAACAAATTATATAAATATTGTGTTCAATATAAATGAGTAAACTACGAAAAAATTATTCGTCCATTTTAAACATGTTTCTCATTATTTTTATTGAAGATAAAATAGCGTCAATATCATTGTTTGGAAAAGATAAATAATTAATCATAGAACCAAAATAATTCTTAGAATACAAATTTAAAGTTTGAGGAGTGTAATTTACCTTGAAAGTACAATACTTACTCCTTAAAAATATAAATTTAAATTTGAAGAAGTTAACTGATCTATTTTGAAAGTACAAGACTTATTAATGAAATTATGAAAATCAAACAATTTAAATTTGTTATTAATTAAACTATCAAAGTAACATCATTTGATCATAGTTGGAAAAAATGTCAATTTTCACTAAACTACAATAAGTTATACACTACATAACTGCAGACAATCACTATTTATAGTTGACGCTCAGTTTGTACGCAATTTTCCAGCACCTATATGATTTTGTTTTTGAGTTCATAATTCTGTTGTTGGGGGAGGGGGGAGGTTACTATCTCATATTTTTATATTTATACTTCAATTGTCAGGATGCTCAAATTAAATCACTTTCGCAAGCTAAACGACTTTGGTTCTGTTGAACAATAAAGTAATATACACCTTGCTCGATGCAGTAGCCTACAATAGAAACAATATGAGATTTGTATTTTCTATCTGAAGGTTTCGGTTGAGCAGCCAGGTTGGATATAATAGTAATACGACGAGCAGTTGGGTTACGATAAGCAGAGGGCCCAACATTTGATACAGCTGAATCAAGTGCAGTTAGTTCAGGTGGTAGTTTATCATCTGCAAACATTTACTATCATGTGAACTACTCTGGCTGCTAAATATGGCCCTTTGGCCAAATAATTTGAGAGAAGTTGGAAACCACTAACTACTGGAACCATGTTGAAAACTAAAGTTTAATTATAAAGAATAAAATGTAAACACTAATTGAGAAGGAGGTAGATTGTTCATCCACCAAACACCTACCTTACGTACATCTTTGAAAAAATTTACATGTAAGAACTATGAAAAACCATAAACTTGTAATGTGTAAGGTGTGTGGTGAAAGAACCCACCAAACAGAGAAAAAGTTATATGAACCCTCCAAAAAGAAAAAGATAAAATAAAGTGTTTTCTTTGCATTCCATTCTCTATACCGTGGCTCTCCACAAATTTCCATACAAATATCCTAAGCCAATATTACTCATTTACAAAGCAAATCCAAAACTTATCCCAATTACCACAAACATACCCAAATTGAAACATTATATCAGAATTATAATTGAAAACTTATCTACCTTCATCCACCAAAAGCCTACATTGTATATATGTTTGAAAATCATTAAACCAAAGAGTCAAAGAATCAAATGCCACTATTTCTAATAAGCCGCAATATACATAATTAATACCACATACCAACTTGGAACAAAAGTTTTAACCTCATCATGACACTAACATATATAGAATATATAAGTTACAAACCAAAATTTGGTCGATCCAGAGGTAAATACCAACATATGAATTTTACTACTTCAGCGGGTCATTAATCTACTTCTTTCTTCATCTGAGTCGAAGGGATTCAGAGGTCTAATGTCTGTCACCTTGTCGTATACAAACTTGTTATGATCATCCATCTCATTCGTACCATACTGGCAAAGTTCCATTGGAGGATGGAAACAACCTTCCTGACAATAGACGCAACCTTTGCGAAGAAGATATACATACATACAACAAAATTGGCAATATCATTAACTTTAGATCTCTATCAATCTATCTATCAATCAGTACCCTAAACTAAATGTACTTTATTTGTATTGATGCTTGAATTTGATAAATAGAATGAATCCACTTATCAATCTGAGGCCACGACGTTGATACACCATTAATAGAGAATTCATATGATGATAGGGAGGCCGGCCAACAAAAGCAATAATCAATCTCTCTCTCCCTCTCCCTCCTACTTACCTACCTAGTACAAAATTGCTCAAGTTTATACAATCAAGAATGCGAAAACCTCGTTGCCCAAAGAATTTGAGCGTCTTCGCAACAAAAAAAAGTGAGTTGAACCGTCATTTTTCTTCTTGGCAAGAAAATTGTCATGACAGACAATTACAAGATGAAAGAGAATAGAACGACTAAAAAGGACATCAACAACCACATATTTCGTACCCTGTTCTAATCAACCAAAATAAACAATCAATCAATTGAGATCATCAAGTAAGCATTCAATCCATTAGTTGTAGGGGTGTGAGTTACCATGACACCTAATATTTTAGTAGTCACGGTGGCTAACAATTCTACACCGTTTATTTTCCTTTTTTCTCTTTTTTTAATAAAAAAATTGAAGATCAAAATTGCTCTAAGAATAGTTTTGGAAGAAGAAAAAAAGACCACAAAACCTAACGTATTCCCACCCTTCTCTCTCCTAGCCTCCTCCCTCCCACTCTTTCGGCGACTCCCTCCTTCCCTTTCTTCATGGCGACCTCCCACCCTTCCTTACTCCCCGATGACCCCCCTCCCCCTCATTCCCTCTCTTCCCGGCGACCCCCACCCTCCCTTCCTCTCTATCTCCCTCTCTCCCCCTCCCCTCCCCCCCCCCCCCCCCAAACTCATACTTAAATTGTTCACCACCACTATCGCCTTCTCCACTTTAGGATTTTCAAATAAGTCAACCTATCGAAGGAGATTGACGAAGAACTGTTTATCACAAACCCCCGGTATGATTTCTGTTCTTGTTTTTTGCACTGGTATGTTTTTTTCACAGTAGTATTGTTTTTTCGTATTGGTATTGATTATCATGTAATGATATTGCTTTTTTAGTATTGATGTTATCGTATTAGTATTGATCATGTATTGGAATTGGTTACATCTGCAATGGTATTGATTAATAAGTGATATACGTTGTGATAGTGGTAGTGTTTTGTGTAGGTGGCTAGTGTTTTGATGTTTTGCTATTGATTTCTTGTTTTATTTCTATAACGACATTGGTATTTTTTGAAGTGTAGTGTTTGTTTAATGGATTGGTATTGATTTCTTGTTTTTGTTTTTACAGTTATATTAGTTTGGCTGAATAGAGACAAGGAAAATATTGAAAAAAGAAGGAAGATAGATCTAGCCGAAGATTATGAAAGTGAGAGAATGATAGAGAAATTGATATATTTTTGTAACTTCCTAAAATGTAATTTATTACAAAAATACTTAATAAATATTTTTTGCATACCCAATTTATTCCTTTAGTAGCCATGGTGATTACTATTCTAATAGTAATCATCGTAACCACTCTCAATTGTAGGGAAATAGTGGATTAAAGTAAGGAACCAGTTGATTAAATTACATGCTTCTCATCGTAAAAGTTCACAGCTGACAACACGTAGGGCAATCAGAGGCGGAGGCAACTTGTCCATATGGGGTTCCATGGCACCCCTTGGTTTGGGATAGAACATAAAAAATTAAGGGTATAAATTTGTACTTTAGATAAGATTTAAACTTCAACCTCCTTACTATTAATTTTGGTATCTTCCATTAAACCAAATTGCTTACTTAATACATTAAACGTTCTATTGCATATATAGGTAATTTGTTTATGATATCAAAATAGTCACACTTTGAATTTCTTACTGTGCACAGATTCAAAACAAAGGAAAAGACCCAAGTCAACAATTGAGTCATACTAAAGGACTGACAGAGCTAATGGAATATGACCTTTGGGACATCTAAGGGGTTGCACACATAGCATGGCACATTGCTAATCTATTCGCACTTGCATGCAAGTAGGGTATTAATGAATCAATCCGCTTTTGAACGACTTGGTGTCCTATTCGAGAACAACTCGGTCGATACTCGACTCGTATTTAACTAATTTGACTCTAACGAGCCAAGCTCGTGCCATAACATATTCAGCTTGATAGGTTCACGAACAAGCTTTAAAGCCTTTTAGTATTTGACGTTGGTGTCTTGTGAGTCAAGTTCGAGTTCGAGATTGCGCTACAATCCATCTTTTATCATTTGAACTTAAGTTTTGCTAGTTAAACTCATTCGTCGAGCCGAGCACAACTGCTTCTATTTTCTAAATGAGTCGAACTTGACATTTCCTATTAAACCTCGTGGAACTTAAGCCGAGCTCGAGTTTGGAATTATTTTAACGAGTCAAGCCTGAACCATGGCAAAACTCGACTAGTATAATTAACAACCCTGTATAAAAGCAATAACTCAGAGAGACAACCGTGCAAGTACAATTTTCTAAAACAGGTTGGTTTTGATAATTCTAATCACCCAAAAACTTTCAATTTTTCCTTCTAACATCATCCTCTTACATATATCTCTACTCTAACGAGATCCAATACATTAATTTAAAATCTTTTATAATCATATAATTATGTGTATAAATCAACTATCTTTCACTCATCAACGTTAAAAAAAATACCATTTCCTTGCACTCGTTCGAATTAGGGACAGCCACACATTATTTCGGATAGCAATAACCATGCATGATTACAGAGGAGTACCATTATCAATACATGGTAAAAGATTTACAACACATAACAACAAAACAAGAAGACTTCGAGTCAACAACCGTACTCTCCCATGCACCCTGCAGCCACCATGTTTTGTGCTGACAAACAATATACGAATCATTGATCTTAACTAGAATGGAAAAATGGCCTAGTGGCATGGCTGCACGTTCCCAGTACTTAGCCATCTTTTGCTCACTTAATTTATCAGCCCAAGTTGCACTTACCATGCAAGATTTGGCACTATAAATACCAGGGCCAATCAAGCCAAGTTTTCTCATCACCCTCAACCTTTTCTTCCATCTCAATATCCATTTCATTACTTCCCAAAGCTAGCTAGCCAAGTAATTTTTTCCTGCAGGTAGTAGAAATGGCGACGAAGAAGCAAGCAGTGCTCATTGCTCTCACATGGCTGCTAGTGCTAGCCACCATTGTCATATCTGCTCACGCCACTGCTGATGTTGCTGCTGGTACTGTGAAAAACCCCGACGCTTTCAAGGATCCGAATGTTGCTCAACCCATGGCTGGTAAGGGTTTGAATCTGTTTCCTTTAATCATAAACCACTACTTTATTTTACATATACTCTGTACAGATCAAACTTAATTACAAGCTGTAGTACTAGGCCAGTAGTATTGCTTTGCTGACATTATGTTTGGTTCTTTATAAGGTTGTCGCTGCTGCACTTGGTTCAGGAATCAGTATGGAAATCTCCAATGTGGGTATGTTTGTTGTACCGATGGTTGTTGCTAAGCACTACTTGGTCAAGCAATCATAATCAAGATCAGAAATCTCGCAATAATGTTAAGAATCATGCCGTGAACGAATGTCTCAGAGGACAAAGGGCTTCCTATGCACCTCTCCAATAAAATTAAGTTTCTGCATTTCAGTTTCTGTTAGTAATAATTTCAGTTTCCAAACGTTGTATCGAAATCTGCATAATGCAGATTCCTTGCATCTGCTGATGAAATTTGAAGTACTTTCTTACATGTTGAAGAATAAGTTGGGTCAAATGTTGGGGTAAACTGTGACTTTCACGGCAACAAATCATATATCAATGAATGGAAGGTAAAAACAGAGGAGATGCAGAAGCTATCAAACTAATGACAGCAAATAATATGATTTCAAGGCATAACTCCAGAAAACCAGTAGCAAATTCTGCTACCTTTCTCAACCTCATTGAATTAAAATGGATCTTTACATGATAAAATTAGGATTGAGGGATATGCAGAAGCTACAAGTGGACACATACTAAATAACTAACTGAACAAGTATTGAACTTCAGCAGCCAAATCCTAAGCAGCAACAACATACACTGCAATGGGACTCCTAACATAATGTATCCCATCAGTCCATGTAATCCCTCCAAACACATAATCATCAGCTGTACCATTCCACTTAGCCTTCAGTATCACCTTAAACTTCTTCTCTTCTCCAAGCTTGTTGAACCTTAGGACATTAGGCTTCACTGAAACCGAAACACCCTTTGGTTCCTTGATCCTGACAGCATACCTGGCTGGTGATTTCCCTACGTTCTTCACCTTCCTCGTCATGGTGATCGAGGACCCACCCTTAAGTTTCGGGACCGCAATTGAAGGGTAGTTAAGGTCCATGATCCTGGCGTGTTTGGGGCACTCGTGAGGAGCGTCAGAGAAGAGCTTCAGGAGAGTCTTGTTGTACCCTCTAGCACATAGGAAGTCCAAGTAGTCACTGATAGTCAAGTCATAGACTAGGCCAGGGTCCATGGCGCGGTTTGGCCTAATGTGTCCTGACCCATAACTAAACGGTGTGGCCTTCTCTAAGGTGGAATCGAGGATCGGATTGCGAGCATTGTCCCTTGTTCTAGCTGTAAATGAACCACGAGAGGGTATTTTATGACATTCGCTGTGTCTCAGAGTTTAGATAAAGCTGCTGCCTCTTTGTTAGCAAACATGTAACTTACCGGTGGTCATGATAGCAGATCGAATGGCGGAGGGGCTCCAGTGAGGGTAGACGGCCCTGAGAAGGCCAAAGACTCCCGAGACATGAGGGCACGACATGGATGTGCCAGAGAGAATGTTATAAGGGAACTTGCGAGGGTCTTCACTTGGGTCTGTGGGTTTGGCTTCAGTGTAGGCTGCAATGATGTTCACTCCAGGAGCAGTGATATCAGGCTGCCAAAAACAAAGAGAATCAACTTATATGCGATATATCGGGAAACTTGAATGACAAGTAACATTGATCTTTGAAGCTCTAGATGACACACCTTGAGGACGTAAGGTGTAATGGTATTAGGTCCCTTGGAGGAGAAGTCTGCCATGACTGGAGCAGGCTTTACGTTCACCATTGAAGTTGAGGGAGTAATGTATGCCTTTGGATGTCTGCGTGAAGAAATAACTATTTGAGCAAAAAGAACAGAACACAAAGGTAAAAGGAGAATAATGTTAAGTCTTACTTTGTGGAATTGATGTAACGGAAAAGTGCAACACCATCTTTGTAGCCAATTTGAGTGGCAGGCAAAAAATGGGGATCAGCTGTGAGATCACCATCACCGTTAATCTTATCATTGCAGAGAATCATCCCAACAGCACCTGCCATGGCAGCTATTTTACCCTTCTCTACCCTTCCAATGTCCCCCCTCAAGCAAGCCAAGATCTTGCCTTTTGCCTTTTTAGGATCCAATGTCTTAGGTTTGCACAAAAGGCTATTGGAAACAAGTTTAAGATGAAATATATAGTTGTATAAGCAATTGATTTAGTAATGATATGGTGATGAAAAGAAAAATGTTCTTACGCGTCTTTAACAGTGGCATGGGCAGCCCTAGCTTGAGCCGCGGAAAGAAGTGGGTATGTCTTGTTTTGAGGCAGAGGACCGGAGAGACTTTCTCCCTGGTGAACCAAATTCAAGGTGAAAAAGTTCACTAAGACATCACAAGATGTATCAGTAGTCACTGCAAACTTAACAATTTTTGCTTATGACTGAACTATTCTTCCTTGTGATTAGAGTTCTGTACAAGAGGGGGAAAAAGAGGCAGCACCTTCAGTATCAAGCCATTGTCAAGCTGAACAGAGGCAACAAACTTCCTATCCAAGGTACTTGCTGCAACTGTAGTGATCCAAGGTGCCAGGTTCGATACTGTTCCAGGCAAAGGGCCAGAGTTACCTGCAGAGCAAGAAACAAGAATACCCTTCTTGACAGCATGGAATGAGCCAATGGCTACGGCATCCTGAAAGTACTCGTCTGCACTCCCACCGAGAGAGACAGAGATCACATCCACACCATCATGGATAGCAGCATCAAATGCAGCCAAGATGTCGGAATCAAAGCATTCACTCTCGTTGACCGGCGGCCAGCAGACCTTGTAGGCTGCAACTCTGGCTCTAGGGGCGCCACCCTTTGCTGTTCCCTTCACTGCGCCGAGGATCTTGGCCTGAGGGACGAAATTTCCCCCTGCTGTAGATAATGTGTGTGTCCCATGGCCTTCGGAGTCACGAGCTGAGAGGAAAGACTGGTTGGTTGGATTCCCACCAGCTTGGATGTAGCCTTTGCTGAAGAATCTTGCACCTACCAACTTCCTGCCCAAGTTTTCCATTATGATCATTATTTCATATCGTCCGCACTATCATTCCCATTGATGATTAAAAAAAATCGTTCCATTGCGAAGAGTTTAACTAACTTGTTACAAGGGACTCCAGCCTTGGTGTTGTTCTGGCATATCCCTTTCCATTTGGATGGGACGGGACCATATCCTTCATCATCAAAGCTCTTGGATTCAGGCCAAACTCCAGTATCCAAAGTGGCTATGATTGTGCCTTCACCAAATTTGGCTGCCTTCCACAACGGTCCAGGGTGACCTGCCCCATTCTTCTCTAATGACAAGTAGTCCCATGATCTTGTCGTGTGCAGCTTCCTTCCTCGGTCCAAGAAAACCGATACGACATCTGGGTGTTCTGTACAATTCGACAGAAAGAGAAAAAAAGAAAGAGGGTATGCATCAAATCCTCCAGAGGAGGGTTCTCACTATAGGCTGGAAAACACAATTCTCATCAGAAGAGGCAGAATCAATAACAAACATTAACTTTCTGATCTGATGATGCAAACTAAGTCATGGTTTGCTGTTTCTTACTGGCAATTTCAGCAGCTTCTGCCTCATCAAGCTTGGCAGTGAAGCCATTGATGTTCCAAGTGTAAGAGTATCCAATTGCTTCTCTGGCTTTCTCACTACCAAACACAAACATACATACCCCCCAAAAAATGATCATTCATGGTACCCTATTCATCGTTTATTCGAATCTCGAGATCAACATCACACATAAGGTCAGAGAGCGTTCAGTTTACCTTCCTAGGAATGATCCAAGAAGATTGTGGTGAGATTCTGTGATGGCCTGAACACTATAGGAATCATCAGGCTGAGAGGATTGAGCAGTAGTAGTCGCAGTCCTGCCACTGCCATCATGTGAATGAGATCCCAGGTAGACAATGTAATTCCTTTGGATTCCTTGGACACGATTAGGAATCTGGAACATAAACAAAACCATGAAACAATAGTAAACCAACCCCATTGTTGCTGTTTGATTCTTTTCTTTCTCTTTCTTTCTGTGTTTCTTTAGCTTTTGAGAATCTCGAATTATAATAGGTAGAGAGGCCTCAGGATTTGCGAAGATATTACTACTACAGCTGTCAAGAATAATATTCATCAAATATGGAACATTTTGGGTATGGTAATTCTCTGATAGAATGTCAGGATACAATGTACAAGGTAAGGGTTTCTGAACCAAACATGGTAAAAATCTGCAGCAAATATGCTAATAGTTAAGAAACAACCCTCTCGTGATTCAAAATTCACAGTCTCTGGCCCAAAAATTACTCTGTTTCTGATTCATAGCAGGTAAGAAAATTCATTAATGGATACATACTAAAATGGTTGCAAATAAATGGAAAACAAAATCAACTACTTCCAATCCATCATGAAACGAGTACCATATATAAAAAAACACCACTTGACAATTAACATGTCCTACTCAATCCTGATCCTAAAAGGACTACTTAACAACTAACTCAATCACTGACTAATTTCCAGATCATCAGTGATGAAGATCGGACTCCTGACGTAGTGAACTCCATCGGTCCAAGTGAGTCCACCGAACTCAAAGTCCTTAGCCGCACCTTTCGATTTCGCAGCCACCATGATCCGGAAGCTCTTCTCCTCGCGTACTTCTCGAACTTCAACACGTCGGGCACGACCTTCACCGCAACCCCATAGGGCTCCCTCACCTGAGCAGTGTAGGTCCCCGGAGGACCCACATTCTTCACCCTCCTGGTCATGGTGACCGGTCCGGCCCCGAGTTTGGGGACAGAGAACGAAGGGTAGTTGAAATCGAACACGCTCCAGCGGGTCGAGTTGGAGCATTTGTGGCCCGGCTCGAACGTGGCTATCGAGGAAGTGTTGTAGCCTAGAGAACAGAGGAAATCCAAGTACTCGTTGTTGGTCAGGTCGTAGACGAGCCCCGGGTTAGCAGCCTGGTTCGGCCTGACGTGGCCCGACCCATAAGCAAAGGAGTTGGTTCTTCCACCGCCGACCTCGGTCATTCGGTTCCCTGTATTGTCCTTGGTCCTCGCTGCATTCCATTTACATCGAAAACAGACGGTTGCAAATTTCAGGTATTTCTAATGTAGGTAGGTAGGAAGCATGCATAACTATTTTTATACCAAAAGCAGATCGAGATAGCTTACTAACCGGTGGTCATGATGGCAGATCGGATGGCGGATGGGCTCCAATGAGGATGGACTGCCTTGATCAAGGCGACGATTCCTGCCACGTGGGGAGTCGCCATTGATGTGCCGCTCTCGAATTGGTAAGGAAATCTCCTAGGGTCGTCAGGGCCTGTTGCCTCGCTGGAGGCGTTCATGGAGAATGCTGCCAGTATTTGATCTCCTGGAGCTGTAACGTCAGGTTTCATGATTTCAGGGTTCAGGACATTAGGTCCCCTGGAAGAGAAATCACACACTGCTGGAGCAGGTTTCTCGCCAAACCTGTCATAAAAATGGTGCAAATTATAAAGACAGAGTTCGTACACTCTTTATAAACAAAATTCATATTTGATTAAGCTTACTAATTACTTTTTACCTGGAAAATGTTCCTGTAATGTACGCCTCAGGATTTTTCGTACCCTTGATATACTTGAAAACCTTCAACCCATCTTTGTACCCGATCTGAACGGTCGGGATGAAATGTGGATCGGGAGAGATTTCGTCACCGTTCGATTTGTCGTTGCAGAGTATCATCCCGACCGCTCCTGCCTTAGCGGTCTCGTTACTTTTCGAAAGTCGCGACGTATCACCACGAAGACACGCCACGACCTTCCCTTTGACCTTGGCAGGGTCAAGTGAGCCTGGCTTACAGAGCAAGGCGTCCCGTGTCGCATTGAGACGTAGCCCTGCAGCTTCTGCGGCGGAAATCAGAGGGTAAAATTTGCGCGCCGGGAGCAGGGCCTCTGTCATGCTGGCACCCTTAATCCGGAGCCCGTTCCTGAGTTCCGCGTACGTCTCGAACGACCTGTCCATCGTGCTGGCCGCGACGGTGAACATCCACGGCGCGAGGTTCGACACCGTGCCGAGCCCCGGTCCCACGTTGCCGCCAGCGGCGACGACCGTGATCCCGGCCCTGACAGCATGGAAGGCGCCGATGGCGAGGCCGTCGGCGAAGTAGTCGTAGTTGATGTCGTCTCCGAGGGAGACGGACAGGACGTCGACGCCGTCGGAGATGGCGGCCTCGAACGCGGCGAGGACGTCGGACTCGAGGCACGAGTCGGGGACGTTGAAACAGGTCTTGTAGGAAGCGACCCTGGCTCGAGGGGCGCCCCCTTTCGCGACTCCCAGGGCGGCGCCGGAGAAGTTTGCTCCGGGGACGAAGTTGCCGGCGGCGGTGGACAAGGTGTGAGTGCCGTGGCCGCCGAAGTCGCGGACGCTGTAGAGATCGGCGTGGGCGCCGGCTTTGGCGTCTGTGGGGACGGCCAGCGCTCCTTTGTTGAAGTACCCAGCACCGATCAGCTTCCTGCAGCATCGATCCATCATTCACAACTTAAATTAACGTCAGTGAAATTCTATCACTTAGGAAAATTTTAATAATTAATTACCTGTTGCAACGGATGCCAGCTTTGGCGCAGGTGCCCTTCCACCTGGAAGGAACGGGACCATAGCCTTCGTCACTAAAGCTCTGTGATTCAGGCCATACACCTGTCGCAAAAAAAAAAAAAACCCCCCGTCGCTAAATCAAGTGTCAATCTCCGTCAGGAATTGATTAAGACTGATAATTATTAGTTAGTTAATTAACCTCCGTCGATGTTAGCGATGATGACATCTTGGCCGAACTTAGCTGCCTTCCAGAGAGGCGATGGCCGGGCGACAAGCTTCCCGGTTGCTTTATCAGAAAACTGATTCTCCATCAACATGAAATTCCATGAGTGCGTCGTCTGGAGCTTCTTGCGACGGTCTGGGAAAACGGACACCACTCCAGGATGCTCTGCATGCATGCCATGCATCTCTCGTCAATAAATTCTTACTATGTTATTGGTGTAATTTTTTTCATACACATCGTATTAATGAACCATCAAAAGTAGAAAATGAGGGGGTGAAATGAAGGCGACGTACTGGCGATCTGTGCAGCTTCTCCCTCGTTGAGGATTGCAGTGAAGCCATTGATGTGCCTGCTGTAGGAATACCTGATTGCCTCTCTTGCTCTTTCAATACTAAAAGAAAGTAAAATTACAAACGACACCATAAGTAACTATATTGAATTAACCTAGCTAAATGTAGGTAGATCTCTACTTTATATATAGAACTTACTCTCCGAGGTAAGTCGCGAGGATATCGTGATGGAAGCTGGTGACGGCGTGAAGATCAGCTTCGGTGGCGGAACTGGAGTGACTGGAGCTGTGACTGCCCATGTAGACTATGTAATGCCGTTTCGCGGCGGTGGCAGCGGCGGAAACAGATGGCAACGCCGATGAAGACAGAAACAATAGCGACGAAATCAAGCACAAATGAAACACGAGCCGCCGTCTGCCGATCATCGTGACGGGCACCCGGCTAGCTATGGTAAGTTTTCTGTCACGATTAACGAAGATGGAATGAATTAGTATCGGATGTGCTTAATTTTATCAATAGTGCTAGGTTTTATGGCGCCATCAACGAAGGTTTAGTGAAGAAAGAGTTCTACTTTATAGTACTCTCCTTGCTTCTCTCGCGTTACTATTTATCGTGATATGATATATAGTGATCATTGGTAACAATTAGAATCAAGATAATTTGCATATATCTTCTAGTTTTCAGTTTACATAACATTTATCCCTTTTTTTTTGTGAAACATTTATCCCGTTTTCATATATTCTCTAGTTATAATTACTTCAAAATACTTCCATTTTCTGCTAGGTTGATCAAGGTTGGGCATATTCCTACTCATATTGGACCGAACGTTCTTTTCCAGAGCAATAGAAAAAGGATAAAAGTTGACCTAGAATAATGCACATTTTATCATATGTTTCAATCTCTTAGGGTGCAAATGAGTTAAGTCCAGTCAAGTTTTGCTAAATTTGAGTTCGGCTTGTTTCTTAATGAATCTAGTTGGGCTGAGTTTTTTTATGGTTGAGCTTGGATCGTTAAGAAACGAGTTGAGCTCTAACTTGGCTCATTAAGGAGCTCATGATCTCTATTCGAGCTCCACTTAACAAACGTAGGAATTCTTAAGAAGCCACATCATAAGTTATGTATATATTGATTCACTCATAAGTCGCTTGTCGAACTAGTTTGCTAACCACACTATCGAACCAACTCATTAGGTTGAAACGAGCCAGCCCATTAATTGAACTCAACAAGCCACTGCGTCGAGCTAGCTCGCGAGCCTCATGAGTCGACACAAAGAATGAGCTCAGACTCACCTCGTTTACTAACAAACGATACCGTAAGCAGGCGTTAACATGTGTCATGCTGTCATTCACAATATTACCGTTCATCAATCGCATACATTTGTCTTTGGTGGTAGCTAGAAATAGAATACATATCAAAGCATGCACGTGACTCCTCAGCAATAATTTGAGTCACATTTGGAATTTGGAATGAGAGGATTAATTGGAGCTACACAGGATAACGTTCAAGTGTATGAGTTGGAGTGTTCTCTTTAAATGGAAAGTTAATCTCATCGGATTCCCTGTACAAGGATGAAGAGAAGCTAAAGAGAGGTTGAAGAGGAAAAATCACAACGAACTCAGATTCAACTCTCTAATCAGAATAAGAAAGCTTCTGCAATGGGAATGTGTAGATACCATGTACTGGGGCATCCCAAGTTGTTCCGACTACCTAAAATAATATAAGGCAACGAGGTCCTAGCTAATATGGACAACAAGCCAAGAAAACAAACAATGGAGAATGCCATAATTGATCAACATGTAAGTAGGGCTTACATCTAGATTAGGTCGAATATATTTTAATTTGAACGAAATTAAGTTAGGGGTGTACAACGATCCAATACCAGGCCGGATCAGAGCGTATCAGGATAGTTTGAAACTAAAATTAAAGTACATAAAATTTGACACAAGAAAGAGTTTTGATATTGTCCACATACTGGTTCGATCCCATTTTTCTCTTTATACTTGAAAATTTTCAAGTAATCAAGACGGTAAAAATGTTCAAAAAGGTCAAGAGCGTATTCGATCACAACTATCCTTCGTTCTCCATCCCAACCTCTATTACGAGGAATAAGAAAACAAGCAAGGACCTACTAAGCGAATAAAAATTTAAGGATTGTAAAATTATAGTGAAGGTTGTATCTAAGACGTGGTAGAATATTTTTGGGTTAAACTGTAGTCTAATCGTTGTTCATACCAATAAAGTTTTATACCAATTTTAATTCCATCTTGATCAGACCACCAATACGATACAATTTAAAAAACACTAATTACGCTAAAACTCCAACTTGAATTTTACTGAAGGGTTAAAGGTCGTCCTAAAAATTACTAATCGTCGTCCTAACTTAATACGTAAATTACTTAATTACCCTTTTTAAAATTAAAACACAAACCCTAGCCAAACACTCCCCTTCCTCCACTTCCCTTCCCCCGTCCACCAACAGCCGCCGACCTCCCCGTCAGTCACCCGCCGCCGGTTTGACCATCGCCCAGCCGCAGAGAGACCACGGCGGGTCGTCGCCGTCAGTCACCCGCCGGCCCACCTCGCCCTTCCCCCGTCGCCGTGAGTCCTCGTCCGCCGTCGCCGTCGCAGCCCTCCTCCAGTGGCCTGCCGTCCCACGCCGCCACGCACTCGTCGTCGCCCAGCCGTCGCCGTCAGCCCTCCTCTCGCCTGCCGTCCGTGCTCGCCGGAGAAGAAGGTAAGCTCCGTTCGTTCCGCGGCGCCCTTCACCGAACGAAGACTTCGGTTGAGCCATGGTCAAACCGAAGTCAACATTCGGTTGAGCCATGGTCAAACCGAAAGTTGACTTCGGTTTGACCATGGCTCAACCGAATGTTGACTTCGGTTTGACCATGGCTCAACCGAATGTTGACTTCGGTTTGACCATGGCTCAACCGAATGTTGACTTCGGTTTGACCATGGACCAACCGAAAATCACATTCGGTCGAGATTTTTTTTTTTTTTTTTTTAAAACGAGATTTTTACCTCGTCGGAGTCGCTACTCATTGTTCGGACGTATGCTCGACGATTTCGGCTTCCAAATGTCGATGATGAATTCGAGAGTGTGGGAGAATGAATGTTTTTTGTTTTCTAAGTGAATGTGGTGTTTGTTTGCTAAAGGAAAGGTAAAGATGTCAAAAGGTTAAAAGTGTAACTTTGTTGTTTTTTAGGACGATCATTAGTAATTGTTAGGACGACCTTTATCAACTCCCGAATTTTATATCACCGGATACATTCGATAAAGATATACACATCGTTTATTTATCAAATCATATATAGTAGTTGCTCACTGATATGCACTGTAAAAGAGTAATTCCATTTTAGTTCCAAGTAGAATTCTTTCTCGAGTAAACTACTTCGACCTTCTTGCCAATCCCTTCCTATATATATATGCATACAAGAACCACAATCCGAATTCGGCACGATATTTTCCAAGTAAAGCGAAGAACCAAAACGCCGTGGGAAAGTACCAATGACGACCAACCGCCTGCCGCCGCTTGCGTTTCTGTGCTTGGCCTCGGTTTTATGTCTTCTTTCGTCGCCGTCTCTAGCTTCCGCCGCGAAAAGGCATTATGTTGTCTACTTGGGTGGCCACACCCACGGCGGCTCTTCAGCCACTGAAGCTGATCTTCAAGCCGTCACCGATTCCCATCATGATCTACTCGTCACTCACCTCGGAGAGTAAGTTCTCTTCGATTTTCGGTTCGATTAGTTTTCGTATCATGGCTTTGATCGATGAATTTCCGTACGTAATTTTACAGCATGGAGAGAGCGAAGAATGCAATCCGCTACTCATACACCAGACATATCAATGGCTTCACGGCGGTATTGGACGCCGAAGAAGCTGCTCGAATCGCGAGTAATTAAATTTTCCTTAGAAAAATCACGTCGCTATAAGTTTTGTGTCCGTCGCTATATCTATAAAAAATGGAATATTGAATTGACCTCTTTGGCAACGACCGCAGAGCATCCTGGCGTGGTGTCGGTTTTTCCCGACCGGATGAAGAGGCTTCACACGACGAATTCTTGGGACTTCATGTTGCTGAACAAGGAGGTTGAGCTCCCATCAGGAAAGGTGATCAAAGTCCCTAGTGAGATCTGGAAAGCTGCTAGGTTTGGCGAAAATGTCATCATTGGAAACCTCGACAGTGGTTAGTTTTACTTAACGATATATATTACCTACTAAATAAATACAAATTGCAATGATATGCCTGCTACTAGTTAATTGTCTAATTTTATCATTAGATTGTGTGTATTCACATTCGTATTTGATCTCTAATTAATATATAAAAAATGTTATAGGTGTTTGGCCCGAATCCAAAAGCTTTAGTGACAAAGGATATGGCCCTATTCCCGCCAAATGGAGAGGACATTGCGAGAACAACACCAAGATCGGAGTCTCATGCAATAGGTAAGTTCTTAATTGAACACGAGAAATATGTATGAATGGTGTTATCAGAATTTAAATTGATGAGTAATTGCGGGAAATCGAATTGATGTACAGGAAGCTGATCGGTTCGCGGTTGTACAACAAAGGTTTCATCGAGGACGGATCCACGGCTGATCCGGCCGATTTGTACAACCCACGCGACATGGACGGTCACGGGTCACACACTCTGTCCACCGCCGGCGGCAACTTCGTCCCCGGGGTCGACATCCTATCAGCGGCCGGCGGCGTGGCCAAAGGTGGCGCTCCGAGAGCCAGAGTTGCCGCTTACAAGGTCTGTTTCGTTGTCGAGGACGGGACGAGCTGTGCCGACTCCGACATCCTCGCCGGATTCGACGCCGCCATCGCCGATGGGGTCGACGTCCTCTCCGTCTCCCTCGGGAGCGAAGATTTCGCCGACTACAGTTACCTTGCCGACGGCCTTGCCATCGGCTCTTTTCACGCCGTCCGGTCGGGTGTCGTCGTCGTTGCCTCCGCCGGCAACTCCGGACCTGTCCAGGGAACCGTTGCGAACTTCGCACCGTGGATCGTCACCGTTGGAGCCAGCACCACCGACCGCAACATTGATGTCCACGTCGAGCTCGGTAAATTTTTTATTCGAATTCGTGATTAAAGATATTACTCCTCTCATTAAAGTCGGTTTAATTCACGTCACTAAAAACAGGTAACGGCGACCGGCTTAAGGGGACGGCGCTTTTCCAGAAGCCCTTGCCAGACCACAAACAGTACAAGCTGGCCAGTGCCGCTGACGTCCGGCTTCCGAACGCCACCGCGGAGGACGCAATCCTCTGCTTGCCGGGAACCCTGGACCCCACCAAGGCCAAGGGCAAAATCCTGGCGTGTCTACGTGGCAAGACTGCCAGGGTTGACAAGAGCCGACAGGCGAAAAACGCGGGGGCAATTGGGGTAATTCTCTGCAACGACCAGGCCAGCGGGATCGAG